ACCAAATCGAATGGCGTCATTTCTTAAGAATTTTTAAAATTTTCCCCAAAACTTTTTCAAAATAGAATAATTATTTACTTTAGTGAACCATTTGAACGTGGATATGCCTGAAGGTTTTAAAAAATCAATTATTTTCCCAATTTGCAAAAAATAGTGCAATAATTAAGGTAGCAAATAACGGAGGACTTTCCTTAGTCAATACCATTAATGATAAGGTAAAGAAATTGTCTGGGAAAAACTATTACATGAATACAGAAAGTCATACTCTATAATTAACTTTCAATTAATTAAGGTTTTAGTTGAGATAAAAAAGTCAGTGTCACGAGCGAGATTCGAACCCACGATCTTCGGCTTGATACGCCGCTGCTCTACCACTTGATCTATCGTGACCTCGATCCACTCGGACACTAACTTCCCATCTCAACCCCACCTTTTGAATTTTCCCTCCTTTTTGCCATGTTTCAACCTTAATTAATTGATCAAGCGGACCACGTAACTAGTGAATCTATAATTAACAATATTTCATACTCACTAGCTTGAGAAAATTAAACTGAGTAGGAAGAGACTAAAAGATTGACCTTTCTTTCTAGTCCTTTCCGTCTGTTTTTAAGTATTTTCTGTTTTTCTTTTTTCCCCAAACAATTTCAACCATCATAGATGGGTGTGTACAGTTGTTCATCAACAGCCCATTATTGTTTTCATCATTTTTGAACTTCATGTGGGATCAAAATATGGACAACGGTGGTCAAGATCCTAAATCAATCAAGGTTAGTTCTTGAATATGTGCATATTTGCCATACTGCCACAAAAAAATATTCTTACGCTACATTTTCTGCTTTCATATTTCGGCAAACAACATTATATTATATTACATTAAATAAGAAAATGTTATATTTAAAGTTTAGTGAGAAATAAATGAAGTTCAGAAAAAAAAGCACGGACACGAAGGCAATTGCGTGAAAATGAACGAGTATGAATTACATACTGGTTTGTTAAGGAGAAAACGACTAGTTATGGGATTTCACAAATCACATTGGAGGTTATCTTTCACCCATTCTATTCTTGTCATATGGTCAAATGCACTCTGTTTGTATTCAAATAAATCGTATTTTGTTATAGGGGTTAATGCGAAAATAACGTGAAAAGTAAGTTAATCCTACTTTATATCTTTTTTATACAGTTAATTTATTTATTAATAAAATAGACGGGCAAGAGTACTATACTAGCTTTTAGTGTTCCTATATTTAACAGTTGTTTATTAAAAACCCACAACTAAGGATGGTGAAATGTTGAAATGCTGGAAAAAACCGGCGAGAATAAGAGGACCAGGAGGGTAGGAAGCGAACAGACTATACGTGAAGGTTATCCTTACAGACCCTCAGCAATATATATCAAAATTAATAAAAAATATTTATAAATAAATTTACATTATTTAAGTGTGGAGTTTAGTGACCTTTAATTAATTACTCAACACGACTCACAGAAATGATACATCTACACAGAAAACAAACACTGAGCCCTGAAGATGATCTCAATAAAGATCGAAACATTGACACGCTAAAGAAAATGTTTTTCTAAACCAACGGCACAACAGACCGCATCTCACGATCTCCAAATAATGTTATTTATTGATCTCGCACTAATTATTAAATGTAATAATTAGTGTGTGTGGTGTTTAGTGACCGTTAGCCAATAATTATTTAGGCTCACTTACTTCGGGAAATCACTTTACATGTTTGGTAATAATGATTATGGCCATAATTACAGACATTATTCTTTAAATTGTTGAAAGAAAAAATAACGATTACTTTGTTCATAATAATTAATAAAACCACCGATAATAATTATTCTTTGTGGGGAACGTTTTGAAAGACGATGTATTTTGAAAAAGTTGGGCTTTAAAAAAGCATATTTTTAGTAGCATTTTGATTTGGGAGTGTCATATCCCAGTTCAATCTTTCCTAATTTTTCAAACACTTGATGACAGATGCTAATTTCAGATAGAGATCCCAGTAAACAATCCTGTTCGATTGTTTATGAAGGACCATGTGTTTAACTATTATAAATCATTATAGGGGGGAGGGATAAAACAAAAAAATCGTACTAAAGGGGGATAGGACTGCGGTGTCAATCATGACCCTGGGAAAATGACTTGGGGCCCCAACCCCATATATATTAATTCACTCACGGTAGCCGGATGGAACTCCTTCGGAGGCCGGCGGCCCTGTGAAAAAATATACTAATAGGAGGGGCCCCTAACGGAAAGCCTTAACTGCGGAATCGCTCGGCATTTCTGCCCTTCTTTCCAGAAAAATTGAAATCTCCCCTTGGAAACTACAATAACAACCGAACGATCAAAGCAACGGGCCGACTTTGAGGCCGGGGCGAAAAATTTTCTCACGCAATCCTTCCGCAGATTGAAGCAAGGCTATTTAGATTTCTGTTTTTACCTTTTTGAACCCTCAGATGAATAAGTATCACATTTTTATGTAGAGGAGTAAGTAAAGCAAATGTCTTGATTATTTGTTTTGAGTGCACATGAAATGTATCGTAGCAGATTCAAACTTTTTTTATTTGTTTGACCTCCTCTCGCTGATCCGCACGTTTGTAAAAGAAAATCATGCATAATTATTTGTTTCGAAAGCACCGTAATAATTTCTACTTAATTGTCTTGTCTACCTGAAATTGCTCGTTATTATTTTTTATACATTTTAAATTTTATTGTACGTGGTGGCCTATTGTACAATTTTATTGTAATGTAGGTCATTCTTCAGATAAAAAAATTCTTTTATCACTCTTCCACTGAAGATGATTTTTTATTAATTCTATTGGCAATAAAATCTTTGTGACTTTTGAAATTAATATCCACGTCTTTAATATTTTTTGTATCTTTCTCCATTTTCATTTGTTTTTGTATTTGTATCATCTATCACCTTTCTATGTATCTATCTATATCTTCTCATCTGACACAAACTTTCTACTTACGCACACTATCATCCACTCAATCTCCCTCTCACTCTCTTTCTCTCTCACTCTCTCTCCGTTCTATCGATCTTTTCAGCTGCTTTTCCAATTCCTCCATTCCACGTTAAGTGGTAATATTGTCCACGTTAGTCTTTACATTGCGGGATAAAATAAAGTATAATCCATCAAATCATCATCTTTCCTGTTAACTCTCTCTCTCTATCTCTCTCTCTCTCTCTCTCTCTCTCACTCTCTCTCTCTCTTTCTTTCTCTCTCTCATCTTTCCTCTCTTTTTAGCTCACTACCTTTACCATTTCTCCATTCCACGTTAAATGGCAATAATGTCTTAACATTGCGAGTAACATAAAGCATATTATTATGATCATCATCTCTCTTCCTCCACCTCTTTCTCACCTAATCTCTCGTTCTATCAATCTATCTCTCTAACTCTCTACCCATCTACCTATCTCTATCTATCTACATATTTCTATATCTCTCTAGCCATCTACCTCTATCTTCCTTTTTCTCTCTCTCTCTCTCTCTCTCTCTCTCTCTCTCTCTTTCTCTCTCTCTCTCTCTCTCTCTCTCTCGCTATCATTCTATCTCCTTATACATCTATCTACTTCTATCTATCAATTTATCTCTGTCTCTCTTTTTTCTCTCTTTCTCTCTTTCTCTCTTTCTCTCTTTCTCTCTCTCTCTCATTTCCTCTTTCTACCTATCTACCTCTCTTGTTTTACGTTTCTTCTACGTACATATGTATATTATTTTCTTTATTTATCTACATCAATCTATCTCTTTGTGTTTTGTGCGTCTGCTTATATTTTTTAGCGAAAAACATTTTTTCGATTTAAATAAAATAAGTATGGCATAAAATTAAGCAGCGCTGACAGTTTTTTTAATAGAAAAAAATGAACTATTTGTACATCGAGCATTCTACATGAAGAACTACAATATTTATGTTGTATTACTTTATTTTAATATAATTATCATAGCGTGTACAAAAAAATTAAGTCATTGAGATTCATTCCTTTTTGTTTTTTGCCTGTTTGCATGTCAACAAGTCGTCCAGTAATTTATGTCATACACATTACCCCTCATAACATAGAATTAACTCTGCATTCAAAAGGCCTAATAATAACATTTCTAAATCTCTTTTATCTTTATACTGGCTTCAAAAAAACCCACCTTTTTTGGTAAAATAATTATCTAAATCTATAAATAATTATCAATATATAACCATTTTCTTATGGGAAAAATACGTTGCAGTAACAACAAAGTCAGTCCTACGGGAATGAATTAACGAGAAAGTTTTATTTATAGCTATAAAATTCAGTCTACATTGGCCACTCTTACATCCAACAACTTGGAAAGAGTCTATAAAATAACATGTATATATAAATAAAGAAAAAGCCAAAATGTATTTGCTGTATAATGTAATAATAATTTGTTTATTACTTGTTTAAACGATCAATTAATTACTTATCTCAATACTTTCTAGAGAAAATATAAAAAATACATTCCAGAATATAGTTAATTTTTTCAATTTAGTAAATATGTTTTTTTAAATATTATTTAGAAAAAGCTGTATTCAGAATCAAATTCAAAATCAGCAATAATAACTTTCGATTCCAAAGTCGATTTTCAGTACTACCGAGTACTACCTTCAAGGATAGATTATTTATTTGTAACATTTTAGAATATTAATAGTTAAATTATTATTTGGAGTAAAAACGAAAAACCGTTGACGGTTTAAACTTTTTCTTCTACTGTAAATTCAAAATTATCTCAATTTTAAATTGGGAAAATAAACATACCAAAAGACTTATTTGTGATACTTCATAAGTCCGCTAGTATTTCCTATTATTTTAGAGCGGCAGGTCCGCTTTGATCTTTCTTGCAAAATTCGATCTCCTCCAGTTTGTTTGTCGCAACTGCGCTCTTCACTGAGTCACAATCTATCCAGATAAGTTTATCTTAAACCCAGAGTTTTTAATCTCCTCGATGCGGATTAGAAAGGGTTGTTTGCCTGGACATGTCCCTCGAAAGGCTTTCAGGCTAACTTAGATTTAAACGGAATAACCCAGTAAATGATAAGCTGAAGATATCGCCGTGTTTTTCCAGGTAAAAAATTTCTTCTGTAAAACAATATATTGTATGTACTGTTGTATTCGATAAGAAAGAATTACCTACTCAAAAAACTGTTTTGTATACGTTTTGTAGTAATACATCTATCAGGAAATTGAAAATCAAAATACAGTCACAATTAATTATTCTTTTATTAAGGTCTTGGTTGAGATGAAAAAGTTAGTGTCAGGAGCGGGATTGGAACCCACGACCCCACGCTGGGGCTCTAAACACATGAGCTATCGTGACTTCAATACACTCGGACTCCACCTCTCCATCTCAACATAAACCCTTTGGAATTTTCTCTCTTTTTGCCATTTTTCAAATGTCGAGTAATCAGGATTAAATTCTCAGCGAAAAAAGAAGAGAGATTACTTCTTTACTTATTATATTAGATCAATTATGACCGCTAAACATATATCGATTAAACTTATTATAGTGCTCATTTTGGATAATTAATTATAGTTAGCTAGTAATAAAGAAACCACCGTAAAATGACGAATGGCGATTTTTCCTGCTAGGATAAATTTGACTTGAATTTTTATTACGATACACAGTAATGACACATCTATACAGAAAACCAACACTTTGAGCCCTGAAGATGATCTCAATAATGATCAAAACTTTGGCACGATAAAGAAAATGTTTTTCTAAACCTACGTCACACCAGTCGGCATCTCACGATCTCCATATAATCATTTATGTAATCTCTTTTAGAGACAATTCCGAATAAATAACTATTAGATATAAAAACTAGTGTAATTCAGTGAAACAGAAAACACGAGTATTGCAACATTTGCGGATTACACTGCAGCTCTGTCATTACACTGCATGGGCAACAAAACTGCAAAATATTAGCAACCGGAATGACAGATGAATAACAGATTTGGAAAAAAATAAAATCGAAATCTGTTTACTTTAGTTACTTTGTCCATTTTTATTTACACAAAAATAAGTTGTTTAAATTTTGCACGTGTCTGAACAGTTACTTTATGGAAATTTTCAGCCATATGGAGCCTCGAGACGCCCACTCTGGCCCAGGTTTGCATCTGTGTGGGACGCGGATATGCGTTAGACAGTTTAATCCGATATTTAATATTAACTGCTCAAAAATGAATATGGATATTTGTAATTTATTCTTATTCTATTAATTTTAATTTGATTACCCGATATTCTTGTTAGTTTGATAAAACAAAATAGAAAATACAAACCAAAAACAAACAAAATAATATTAATCCTCATTTTTAATAATGGATTTACTTAATAATAGTAAACATGATGATTACTCATTTTGTAAACAAATACCTTTCTCGTCGTTTCTCCATTTTAATCCAGTTGCATTCTGTTTGACCATAGAAAGAACAAGAAGTTCGGAATATCATTGTGAGAATGAGTCATTGACGTCACCAGCAGTGGATATTGAAGAGGCAGTTGGCGTTTCAAAAAGCGTGGTCTCTCGGGCTTTAGCCTGTTTCGTAGAGACTGGAAGGGCCAATTGGAGGCCTGGAAGTGGATTTTAGCGCATTACGACGCTAAGGAAGGATAGAAATATTGTCGTTGCTCAAAGACAGAATCCTTTCCGTAGTGCCAGATCCTAAATGAATTGCAAGATGTTTTGGCCTTTTTATCAACACGAAGTTGGTCACATCGTATGCCCCTTTGAGACGTCCTGCAGCACCAGTCTCAGGAGAATATGGTGCATCGAGCGCCTAGAAGTGAAACCAATTGGAATGCTGTTATGTTTACTGATGAGTCGCGTTTCTGTCTCTACGGTGATTGCAGGCGCCGAAAAGTCCACCGAGAACACGGGATTTTTACAATGGGGCGGTTTAATGATCTGGGCTGGGATTTACACTGGAGGGCGAACTGGACTCCATATTGTTGAAGGCAACCTCACTTTTGTCCAAGAAATAATCGAGGACTACATCCCTCAAACCAGTGATCGGTAGGAATTTTTGATTTCTGGATGACAATAGACCTCATAGAGGCAGAGTTGTTCATCAATGTTTAGAAAACCTGGAAATTTTCACTTCCCTTATTGTCTTCAGGCCTCAATCCCATTATGCACATGTGGGATCCGTTGCAGACAAAGCTTTTTGATTAACAACAACAGCCAGTTGACCTGCAACACCAAACTGATAGTAATACAACTGATAAGTGTTATTATCAAATCTGTAAGACAGCATGTATTTTATTTGTTTTTTTCCAGACCCTCTCGTTTTCAGCTCGCTTCAAATTGCTCATACACTGTTCCAGTTATGAAGGTTAATAATATCTTAATACAATATAATCAATAGTAAGAATAATTCGTCACACAAATACTTACTCTTGGGCTAAATCCGACATATCTGGCATATTGAGGAAGGTGTCTCAATTAATCCATTCACTGGTTCCCTATAGAGAGTGTGTAGAAATGCCGTGGAAGTAACAATTTAAATACTACAAAATTGGCAATATCCCTATTTTTGAGCAGTTTATTAACCGGATGCGTTTGATTTAAGAATTTTCACCAGAATAGTTTTTAATTTTAAAACACTGAATACGATTTGATTTTTAACATGATGAAAATTGATTCTAATACCGGTAAAAAAAAGCATTTTTCAATTATTTTGATCTGATAATTTAAAATGACTCCAGACGAACAGCCAAAAATCGTTTGATTCTTCTTTACTTTTTTTATACACAAATCACAAGAGATATTTAATAATAAAGTAATTGTCCATGTGCTAAATACACAGCGGTCTCGTTAACAACAAGGCGGCCAGGATTATTTTCAAATTCCCTTTAATTACCCGTCATTAATTCGATGGTTTTTAACAAGTAGCTACCGGCGTCTGCTATTAGAAGGCGCGTCCCCTGTCAATCCAACTGTTATGAGTTTATGACATATTCAGAAAATCTTGAAATCTGAACTGAAATATGGTAAACCTCGCAGGTTTTATATGTTAAAATAAAATAGCTATAATTGTTAACTTAAAAAAATGCTGCATTAATGTAACTTTAAAACAATAGCAAGGAGGATTTGTACTCTCACAGCAAAATTCAAAGCCATGAGGGGTATTCACTATCTTCTGTTAACCCTGTTAGGTCCTGTTAGTTCGAGAAAAATGACGACGTAGATTTGCAAGAATCGGCAAGTTAACATTGTTCGATCTAACAGGCCAGGGCCACGAATTTAGTGCATTGCTATCCGTTAGGGCATAGGTAACCAACATGGCAGCCATGAATTTAACAGCTGGTTTTCATTTATACATATTTTTATTCTTAAATAAGCATTATTAAGATAAAATCAGAACAACACATTTCTTTTGTTAATTTTTGACCTGTCCTTATGCTCTCATTCATAATAGATACTCCTATATCCCATAAAGTTGTAGGCTGTTAGACCTTAGGATACAAATTAGGCATGTCATTTGTTAGTACTTTTCGATTGCATAGATAACATTTTAAATAAAAAAGCTGTTTAATTTTTATTTTGTATTAACTTCTGGCTTCTTACAATTTAACACAAACGAAATCCAAAACAAACAATAAGCCTTCAAGGACTATTATCGCTTTATCTTCGGTTCTACCAATCGCCACGCGCAGCATTGCGGAAAAATTAACGTTTAACATGCTACAAAAAGAAGGGGGCATTCAATATCTTCTTGGACATTTCTCTATACGAGTTAACTCTTACAATCATCGGGAATACCCCTATAGTCTTCTTTAATCTTCTCCTAATAAAAACAAAACAAGTAAAATACCAGAGAGGATATATTTATGTAGAACAATACGTATAACAAAAGGTAGAATTAATTTTTTAGTAAATAATTACTAATTTAATTAGTTATCTGTGAAAATGTATATTATAGTTTAATTACTAAAGAATAAAAAGGAAAACAGTAATTAAAAATACTGGGCGTCATGAGTATAAAAGAGTGGTGTTTTTTCTCTTTTTTGTTCTTCCTTTAAAAGTAAAAGTAAACAAGTGACATCTTTGGAGCAAAGGCGGACGCAATTAAAAAAGTATATAAAAAAAGGAGATAATCTTACAAGGTGAAACGGTCAGAGGAGGGGTGGCAGCGTCTAGACTGTATTGAGGCTATTGAGATTTAAATCGCGAGCTACTCTCCATTGTGCTTACAGTAAACAACCAGGTCCACTTAGCAAAACCATTCTGCCCTTCTCAGTCAGCCAATTCAATAGCCCGACTCACTAGGTGGTAAACACGTACACAGAAATAAGCTTTTCCCCCTCCGTTCAACGTCAATTTGCCACGAATGTTAATATATAAGGGAAAAAATATTGTTGTAAAGAAATATTATCATTTGCTAATTTGTCCTTTCGATAACCTGGATATTATTGGCAATAACAATTTGATCGTTATTCAGAATACAGTCTAATGCGCAAAATTCTGAGAAGGCGTCTTTTTTTGATACTCGGCGAATTGAGTCAGTATGACACGAATTTAGAATCGGTTTACTAAGAATCAGAGTTCAAATTGAACCAGTAAAGGCTTCGCCAAAAGCTACAATCCTGAGAGTTGGCCCCGAATCGATTGCCTTTGTGTTCTCGTACCTGGTCGTACCTTGTAGAGAAAGTGATATGGAACATCGTTAAATCAATCATTCTGCCTACGATTCTCCTCGACGTGAGCAATTGGAACATATGTATTATACTAAAAACAATAGTTACAACCTAACATACTACCAAGGCATAATATCAATTATATGCTTATTTGTAATGAATATAAAATCAATTTGCGACATTACTATATTGAAAAAACAGACAATTGACAAAAATATCTGTTGTTTTACGAATATACACGGTACAATAGTAGTGGATTCACGATCTTTGTGTTAACCCTGTTAACTCTGTTAGGTCCTGTTAGTTGGAGAAAAATGACGACGTAGATTTGCAAGAATCGGCTAGTTAACATTGCTCTATCTAACAGGCCTGGGCCAATGTTAGACGATAGGTCGGAAATTTAGTCACATTGCTATCCGTTAGGGCGTAGGTAACCGACATGGCAGCCATGAATTTAACAGCTGGTTTTCGTTTACACGTATTTTTATTCTTAAATAAGCATTAATTAATCAGATCAATATATTTCTTTTGTTAATTTCTGACCTGTCCTTATGCTCTTATTCATAATTGATACATCCCCTATCCTATAAAGTTGTAGGCTGTTAGACGTTAGGATATAAGTTAGGTATGTCGGAATTGATGCGTGTCATTTGTTAGTACTTTTTGAGAGCATAGTTAGTTTTATTTTTGGTCCTACCAATCGCCAAACACAGCATTGCGGAAAAATTAACGTTTAACATGCTAAGAAAAGAAGGGGGTTCACGATCTTACTAGACATTTTTCTATTCGAGTTAACACCTTATAAACATCGCGAATACGCCTAGTGCAATAAACTATTTTCCGTAGCGTTCCTGATAGAATTTCCTTATGATTTTTGTCAGTTTTAATCTATAACATAAAAGTGAAATAGGTTCGTCAACGATATATCACAGATGAAGTAGGTATCGCCAAAGAAAGAGCGAAGAAGTCTTTATTGTACCTTTATTTGCGATACATTTAATTTTATTTGTATCATGGAAATACATTTATACATCTTATAACTTTGTGCTTGATTATATAATATCACTGGTACTAGGAGAAGCAGTGATCCCGGAGGACATAAGACTTAAATATTATAGTAGAGAGGGCTTGGGAAGGATTAAGGTAAGACGAAAATTTGTAGGGAAACTTCACGAAGCGGGAATACAATCTTGAACGAAAGAAGTGAAAGGTCATTGTGGATGGTGAGGTTAGAGGCTTAACAGGTAGTTTGGAGAATATCTCTGAGGACATTTGATTGGAATACTTGAATGGGATGGATAGTGGATACCCTACGCGTTATCCCGTGGTTATATTAATAGTCATGCTTGATTTGGGCCTTTGCATTATTTTAGTTATCCAAGTCTCGTAGCGTAAGTCACTCTGCTAACATAATTCGAAATTGTGAGGTTTCTTCTTGTTATCTTTGGGGGATGAACCTGAAATTCGATCGTAACGACATTCCTCATTTTTGCCAGCCTGTACTCGGTGGGATGGTTTGTCAAAGACATTTCGGCATTTCGCCACCCCCAGTGACCCAGTCCTCCTGTATCTTCTCTACATGGTAAGATTTCTGCAATTCATATGACTCAGCTCAGCCTTTATTTACATACCCTTAAAAGGATTTGACCAAGAAGGAAAGCTATTTGTGGATTTTCTTAGAGACATAATGACTCTACTTGATGTCGCATATTCGCAAACCTGCCAAGAAATTGTACAACAGATGATGATCTGGCGAAATTGTATTAAACAGCTAGACGCCCACAAATAACAGTCCAAATGGTAACATGAAACTACCAATTGCTCGGAACACATTTCATTAATTTTCCATGGGGGTAAAATACTTAAAGCTCATTCTGCAGTGTGCTTACTGATGGTTTTGGATACATGGGTGTGACTGATGCACCTTACTTTGAAAGTTTGTTGGTTGATTCATGTCCTGGGATCTAGTCATACTTTCGTCGTTAACGGTAATTTTGGTTTTTGGTTTAATTTTGGTGGTGGTCGTGCACTCTCAACACAACACGTAAGAATGGCACACTTACTCAGAAAACAAACATTTTGAGCTCTGAAGATGATCTCAATAAAGATCGAAACGTTGGTACGATAAAGAAAATGTTTTTCTGAAACCTACATCACACCAGACCGCATCTCACGATTTCTGAATAATTATCGACTACCGGTCATTAATCAACACACATACTACATGAGATTGATTTGTTTTGTTTCAAATATTCACCAACTATATGCGATAACTGTAATGATTATTATTTTGTTTTTAGGTTGAACGTTACAAACGACTCACGGTATGTACATAGAATATTTATATAACATCATAGTGTAAAACCCTTGATTGAAAAAATATTAGTTTACAATCACAAATTTGTTAGTCACGAAGAAAAAAGCTACAGGACACACTTATACCAATTATCGAAGGACTTGAATTTCTGGGAAATCATTTGGCCATTTTTTTTATTGGGTTCATTTTTTCCGAGCTTTCTTCCCATGAAAACCTTGTTAAACTTAGCACACACGCCCACAAGAAACGTCACATCATGACTACATTGCATTCTGTAAATAAAAAAATTAAATTAATTTCTTTAGTAGAAAGCAGATCAAGTAAAACCTATTAAATAGTTTTACGTTTTTTTGGATAAGGAAAACCGTATACAATTTTTCTTACCCTAACTTTTTATAATACTTTAAAAAATTCAAATATTTAAAAATTCACTCTTTTTCAAAATAAAAAAAGGATCAGAAAATAATTAAACAATGTTTCAACTGTGTGTTTTGGGCATCGTACCTTTACCAAATAATTTATTATTATCCTCAGAAAAGAATCTTAAGGCAAGAAAATGAATAAACAAAAAAACAGTAAAGACTTTTTTCATGGCGAAACGAAGATCAGCTTCAATTACGGTAATCATCGGATACCTCTCAAATCCGCCTAAATTCGCATCTTTTTTTTACGAAAACAATTAGACCCCTGTTTCATTTTTTTTTACCACTGACTTGTTTCTCACCTTCCTTTGTCGGCGGGCCGGTGCGTGCATTAATGGACCGCTGATGAGGCCCACCAAATTGAAAGTTGGGCTGGGACAGTGGCCAACACGCCAACCTCCGCCCTATCATTTGGTGCGAGGGGCACCGAAACTTTTGCGTGTCGAGCCACATTTAATTCAATCAGCCTGTCTAGACATGCAAGATGCAATTCGGCAAAACGGTCCTCGATCTTAACGGCCCAAACTCACGCCTCTTCCTAGTTAGTGTCTGGGAAAACCTTAACAAGGTGTTTTATTAATGTCCGGGATTCATTCGGAAGCTGATGATAGAACAACGAAATAAGTAATAAATAATGAAAAACAAAAGGCACTAGCACTAATATCAAGTATCGTAATTTTTGTAGAACTTATCTTTAACAGACAATATCCACAATAATGCCACAGTAAAGTCATATTAAAGTATGTAATTATTATTTAATTATAGGCATAACTTTAATTATAGATAAACCTGTACTTTCATCGTTACCGACCATTTTGGTCTGCCATATTCTGTATTTTCTTTGGATAGAATCAACAATAGAAGAAATGCCGAAACGCATCTGTCCCAGCGAGGAAAGGCCGACCAAAATGATTGGTAACGACGAAATTTCTTAGGACAGTAAGCCAATACGAAAACCAAGAAATTGGATGTCGTATTGAATAGATTTTTCATGGAGAGCGAAAGACAGAAGAAGAGAAAGGACATAAGGGATAAAGAGAGATGAGGAGAGTGCACACGACGCGCGCGCATGTGAGAGAGAGAGAGAGAGCGAGTGAGGGAGGAAAGAGAAATGAGAGCAAAATGCGGGGAGAGAGAGAGAGAGAGAAAAGAGGGAATGAGGACAGATGAAGAGAAAGGGCAGAAGAGATAAAGAGGGATAGAGAGAGAGCAAGAAGAAAGAGGAAATGAGAGCAAAATACAGAGAGAGACAGAAAAGAGAGAATGAGGACAGATGAAGAGAAAAAGCAGAAGAGATAAAGAGGGATAGAGAGAGAGAGAGCGAGTGAGAGAAAATAGAAAAAAGAGAATGAGAGCAAAATGTAGTGAAGTAGAATTCAATAAATAATGTACAAATAATAATATTGTATTATTTTGATGGCTGAGTTATAGAGCTAGAAAATTAGACAACTCTGTGTGTGTGTGTGTGTGTGTGTGTGTGTGTGTGTGTGTGTGTGTGTGTGTGTGTGTGTGTGTGTGTGCGTGCGTGCGTGTGCGTGTGCGTGTGCGTGTGTGTGTGTGTATAAGATAGAGAGATAGAGAAAGAGAAAAGAGAGTGAGAGGGGCTGAGAGAGAGGGTGTGAGAGACCGATTCAGCATGATGTTACGAGAGGAAAAGGAAGAGGAATGGGAAAGAAATGAGGCACCTGAAGATCTATGAGTATTTGAATAATCCGTCTAAATATCTTGGTATCTAAAGTGTGATCTGAAATTATGTATAATATGCAGAAGTATGTAATGATATGTATAAAAAAGGTTATTATATCGTTTCGTTTTTCGAAATAAAACCTAAAATTGTCAAAGTACGAAGTATACTACATAACGCGCGAAAAAAACGCATACAATTTTTTTTCTCATTCAAATTTTGTAAATTGAGCATATAAGTACGTAAGGTACTCTACGGTCGTATTTATCGTTTTTCTCTGACAAAATTCAACTTATAAAAATATCTTTTCATCTGTCTCTTTGGAAATTACTTTTTAAAACGCTCATATTTTCGTTAATAACAGTTCAATTGTGAACATGCATACAATTTTATGCAATTGGCAATATCCCAATGGAAAAGGAATTTTGCCCAAGGACAAGTCAGGTGTATTCAACCTTTTTAATCCGTACCCGATCTTGCCCGGATTAAAAATTCAATAGTGGGACGGACGGATCGTATAATCCGGCCTAGGAATGTTTGGACAAAAGGAAGCCCCATAAAAATCGCACAATTGCTTTTTCTCACAGATAATGTTACTTTCTAACGAAATATTTACACCAGTTCCATAGCACAGGGGCGGTGTAGTGAAAATATTTCATAAAATTCTGTCAACAACAAAAGTGCTGGTTTTACATGCAGTAATAATGATTTTTTAGAGACTGTGAGATGCGGTCTGGTGTGATGTAGGTCACCGTAGGAGACCGCATCTCACGATCTAAATAATCATTAATTAACGGTCACTAAATACTACACATACAGTGATCATTTTCTAAGAATACTCTATTTAACAAAACTTCTTCCACTTATAAAACTTTACACCATATTAAAATGAAATGAATAATGTAAAAAAAAAAAATAAATAAAATAAATGCAAATGTTGAACTCGCGTAATCTTTGCGATCAGGAATGTACATGGCAATAAACGACCTTCTTCCGGGGCTACTGGGGGCAGGGAAAAAATACCACAGGGGTAAAATTTTGAAAATCATACTTGCACGGTCATATTAGGTTTTAAAACGATCAGTATAATTATGCCACAAGATTTTTAAAAAAATCACTTGATATGATTTGGATACAGTTCGTAAAGGGATATTGGGAAATAGTAAATATTGATTATTGATCGAGTCAAAATGGACAAAATGGACCTCTCAAGTTTCAGGGCAAGAAAATGCAGAAAAAACAGTTTTGAAGTCAGCCCAATCGGACCTGATAAAATGGTAAAAAATAAAATAGCCCCTGTAGCTATCTCCGGCAGTGGTACTGATGAGACCAACGTTTGAAACCGTACCATCAAATTATTAGAGTGGGTTTTATAATATACTTTTCCACATAATTTTACTATGTATGGTGAAAAAGGTGCACCTAATTAAGCTGTACAACCAAATTATTCTTTTATTGTACTGAGAGTTGTACCTTGCTTACTTCCTTACAAGTACTTATTATGTTTATTTTTATTTATTACAAAATGAATAAAACTAACTTAGGATGGTGTGATAAAAACGTGTAAACATTTCTACTGTAGTAATATTGTCAGTATGCAATATTGATTATTTATAACAAATTTCTCTTTTTTGTTTCAATATTTGTCAACAATTTTTCGAAAAAAAATTAACCAATGATAAAATATTGTTTAAATTTTTTTTCGATGTAAGGTCTGGGTTAAGACAAAAAAGTCAGTCAGAGCGGGATTCGAACCCACGACCTTCGGCTAAATACGCGGCTGCTCTACCACTTGAACTATCGTGACTTCGACCCACTCGTACTGCAACACTCCATCTCAACCTACAACCGTTCGAATTTTCCCTTTTTTTGACATTTTCAAATTTTTTTAAATCGGGATTGGATTCTCAGCGACTTATGAAGTGGCCACGGGGAGCTGTTTAGTGAAGTGATACTTCTTTTACTTTTTAAATATTAACCCATTTACGTTTTAGTGGTCGATTAACCAAGTTACTTCTTTCAATTAATTATTCTTTCTATGTAAGGCCTTGGTTGAGATAAAAAGTCAGTGTCACGAGCGGGATTCGAACCCACGACCTTCGGCTAAATACGCGGCTGCTCTACCACTTGAGCTATCGTGACTTCGATTCTCTCGGACAATGGCAAAAAGCCGAAGGTCGTGGGTTCGAATCTCGCTTGTGACACTGACTTTTTTATCTCAACCAAACCTTAATTAATTGAAAAGAGTTGTTTAAAAACTTTACATGTTTTCAATTCAATTAATGTATAATGAATTTTATTACTAAAACTAATCAAATACATTTTCCCTGACGATAGGATCACCAGTAGTGGGAGGTATGTTATTTTTATGATTTTCTGTAGAAATAAAATCATTTATTTGTTAGGCAAAACATTGTTTTCTTCGATGTTTTAAATAGACTCTCCTACTGCTGAAGGAAAACTGGTTAGTTTTGTGTTTTTTTATAAGTTCGGTCATCTCAATTTAATTGTAGGGCAAGTACGGTGTAACTCTTTCAATGCAACAAAGGCAAATTACAAAGGGTAGGTTTGAAAAGTAGCACTTGCTCGCCCCAACGCCGTTCTGTTCCTTTTAACCTTTCAATATCGCTCACCTAGAAAATTAGTTTAAAAAACTACAAAGGGCCCTGGTTTTTTAATCCATTAACATTCGCGTATATTTATCCGTCAGAATGGTTTGTCATTTGCCAACTGGAAACTAAGCGGAATTATTACGTTTTTGTCGTTTTCCCGTTCAAGAAGATAATTTTTGTACAAGTCACTTAGAATGTGGACAATGGTCCGGAGTTGACTGACAGATGCTCTCTAGTCTGTGATTATCTTCGGCCTTGTACCCCCTCACCTATTTCTATATAATAATATTATTACGGTCCGCTTGACGCGCTCTGTTTCCGTTTCCTTTCGCGACTACTGTCAACTCTCCTTTTAAAATGAAACAATTAACAATGCGAGCGTGAATCTCGGTTCGACCGTCATGCGAATGCCTGTTGAAGCCTGAAGCCAACTGTGGTTAACAGTGACCATTATGAAAACAAACACTTAAATAAAATATTAATCAAAACTCGCAGCGGATTAGTCATTATACCACTCTTGACATCAATCAAATACAACAACAAACACTTATAAAAGACAAAGAACAATGTAAACAGGTAGGCAACCGATACAGCAGTGAAGGATACTTTTACCTGTACAAATGAAAATGAAGTTTTCAATTTTTTTATTTTTTTATTTTTTTTAATTTTTAACGTGAATGTGTCCGACGTCAAACGATATCATTCAAGTACAATACTAGCACCAGTTCGTTAAGTTAAATTATTCAACAAAGACTTTGCGAACAATTCAAAATGGAAAGTGATTGATAAAACGATCGAACAAATTTGTCGGAGTCGCACAAACACGAATATTATCACTCATTTCGGCCGTAAATGCTTTAAATGAATTAACATACTAAAAAATTTATTTAAAAAAATGAAAATAGCCACACAAAAAAATTTCGAAGACAGTCTGCAAGGAACAAAACAGGCCAAACAAATTACGTCGGACCTACGTGTTTGACAGAAAACAGAATGATCAAAGGGTCTACAATCATTCCGATTAATTTCATTTAATATTAGACACAATATTTTTTATATTGTCGCTAATTAATCACTAAATCAAAATTACTGAATAATTCAACTCTGTTATAATGTTAGGTTCGATCTTTTTAATCAGTCCCACTTATGTACCTGAAGTGATAACTACTTTTAAAACAAAGGTCAATAATGTCGATAAATCGTTTTTAAATATTCGTCGTTTACATCAAGCTTTTAGCTAGATAGATTTAAATGTTCGTGGACATTTCCATCGATAAAGGAACGTGCATGGTGATAATTTTTTGTATTTGTTGGCTTTAAGTCAATAATTTTAATAACTAATTAATTAATTTTAACCGTTCGTGTTCATTTGTATCAATAAAAAGACAACATTATGATAATTTGGTCTATTTGTAGGCTTTATGTCAATAACGTTAATAAATAATTAAACAATCTTAAATGTTCGTTTATATTTGCATCGATAAAAGGATGTAAATATTGATATATCGTGGTATTTGCGCGCTTTAAGTCAATAATGTCAATACATAATTGATCAATTTGAAATGTTCGTGCACAATATCATCGATAAAAGGATGTACATTTTGTGGTATTTGCGCGCTTTAAGTCAATAACGTCAATAAATAATTGACCAGTTTTAAGTATTGGTATACATTATCATCGATAAAAAGACATACGATTTTTGGTATTTATGGGCTTTAGGTCAATACTGTTAATAAATAATTAATCAATTTTAAATGTTTTGTATAGATTTTCATCGTTAAAAGGACGTACATTGTGTAATTTTGTGATATTTGATATATGTTTATCTTTGCGGTTGTACGCAGTAATAAAATTATGGTTTATCTAATAAAATTATTGAACTGAAGCACTTTGTTTTTCTATGAAGCCCAATAAAAATGTTCAAAGTTCAAATTAAATATTATTCATATAAATATTTTATTACTGGCCAACTTTGTCTTAAAGTTTAGTCTATAGCGTAGTTGTAAAGTAAATGAATGCATTATAATTCTTTTTCATAATTATATAATTTTTATGGTATATAAAGTAACTACATTGATTCATTATTTTGTAATTAAAATCATTTTTTAACATTGTACGGGGAACTTTACAGCACCTGCATTGATAATAATCTTTAGTATAATTTTTAATAAACCCTTTACGTGTAGGATTGATCTCATTTCTCTCTTATTAATGAACAATTAAATTAAAAATAATAATGTATATGCAATATATTCCAGGATTTTACTTTTTCTGTATTTGTATGAATTTCTAATAGCTGCCAATCACGATTATTTTTATAAATGGTTTTAATTTGGGTGAATAAATATGATTTTAGAATAATTTAATTTTATTTTACTGTTTGAAATAAGTGTAAACATAGCGTGCTGTATGTTCTGATAGGTGGAAAGCTATGTTGAACTTCGAGATTGTAACGCGAAAAGAAAGCTATAGCTGATGGGTCTGTATTTGTACATTGTTTTATGTCTTTTAAATGGTTTAATGAGTGGAAATAAACGTAAAATAATCCAATGTGGTTGCAATAAGTAAGTAGAAATAGTTGTTAGTCAACAAGTTGTGGAATTCGTTTACCTGGTTGGGGGAAGAGCGGTGTATCGGAAGGGGGTGGGAAGGCGGGGTGAGCCGGTGACGTCGGGAGGAGGAGGCTTCCCATTGGGTGAGGGGAAACATGGCAGGCGGGAACGTCAATCAATAGTCGTGGAGGGGGTTTCGGTGGACGGGTGGGGAGCGGGGCGAATAGCAGCCCGACGGAGCTGCCTGCCGATCCGTTCAGTGTCCAAGATATCGCTAGGCAGAGCAGACACGTTCTCTGTGTGGTCAAGTGTTGTCGTGAAAGTGTTAAGTGTGTAACGCCAAACTGTACGCCCAAAGGGAAGACGATATGCTTACGATGGAGACGGACCTGAAGGGGGGCCTGCTGGCCCCTCACCACCACGGTCATTCGGTATCCTCATACGGTAGTTTGGGTTCTTTGGTGCACGGTAACGTGATGGGACAACCGCCTCCTCCGCCCCCTCAGTCGCTGCATCAACAGCACCAGCTGGTCCAGCCGCAGCAGCAACACCCTCACCACCAACAGAACAATAATAACAACAATACGAGTAAGAACAGTAACATGGACCGGGTGAAGAGGCCGATGAACGCTTTCATGGTCTGGTCCAGAGGCCAAAGGCGGAAGATGGCCCAAGAAAATCCCAAAATGCACAATTCGGAAATTTCGAAACGGCTGGGTGCGGAGTGGAAGTTGTTGAGCGAATCCGAGAAAAGGCCGTTTATCGACGAGGCGAAAAGGTTGCGCGCCGTCCATATGAAGGAGCACCCGGATTATAAATACCGGCCGAGGAGGAAAACGAAGACGCTATTGAAGAAGGACAAATATCCGTTGACGGCGGGTTCTCTACTGCCGAACAACAGTGTCGAACAGCGAGGACAGTCCAACAACGGAGGAGTACAACAAGTAGTGAACAGGGAAATGTACCAAATGCCCAACGGCTACATGCCGAACGGATACATGATGCCTCACGACCCTTCCGCTTACCAGCAGCATTCGGCGTACGGGAGCCACATGACGCCCGGTTACCCCAGGTACGACATGAGCCAGATGCACCCGGGTTCGGCGTACATGAACGGCGGTTCGTACGGGATGTATGGAACGACCGGGACGGGCGGAGCCTCACCTTACCACTCGAGCATGCAGCAGAACAGCCCCGGAGGGAGCAGCATCAAATCGGAACCCGTATCGCCGTCTTCGGGCGGTATCCACACGCCGACGCCTCAGCCGCCGCTAGTCGGTTCGGGCATCAAGCGGGAATACGTACCGACGGGAGGGACCGGCGACCTGAGACAAATGATCTCTATGTACCTGCCCTCGGATCCCAACAACTCCGTCGACCCTCATCAGCAGAACGCCAGGCTATCTCACCTTCACTCCGGATATCCCACGGGTTCGCCCGATCCGCTGGCGTTATCCCATATGTAGGGACAGGACTGCCGCTTCCAGCAGCAATTCGACTACAATTTGTGATCCATCTCTTTCTGTGCCAACTTGCCTGTAAGCGGCTGTCTCACACTGTGTACATAATAGGGTTAAGTTACCTAGTGATCCACGATCGACAGAGAGATTTTATAACAAACCACTAAAGACCACACTATGTCATCAACACATCATCCAGTTGTTTGTCTGGTAAATATAAATTTAATTCTTTTACGTATTAATTAATTGCGTAAATCGTAAAATAGTTGCTTTTTAGTGGTTTGATATTCAAAAAGAATAATGGACGATGAACATTTACCCGGAAAATAAAATAATATTTCTGTGTGCTCAAGGATTCTAGGTGTTTGTAAATATATCGCGTTAAGTTATAAAATAAAAATATATAGATTAAAGTATATATATATATATATATATATATTATATATATATGTTTAAAACAAAGTAGGCCATATTTCGTTATCTTGTCCGTTGGAAACCGAAAACGAGTGATTTATTTTACAACAAGCTTTAAAACAGTACAAATTTTAATCATATAGAACATGACGTTGGGTAAATTTTTATTTTGTGCGATTACAAATTTTTTCAAATGGTACCTTAAGTGCCGTCACTTGCAATAATGTTACAAATTAAAAAGTAAATTATGTAAAATGAGCATCGTTGGAAGTTCGATCTATTAATAGTTTGTACGTAATTCTTAATAATTGTCATAGTAAAATTTTTTTATATATATATTTTTTAATTTCTCACGTCGTTTAAAATTGTAGTTAACATTTGGCCTGTTGTTGTTTTTCTTTTTTTTTACAACTTGTTAACTGGTTTTGCATTCGGGCTGAAAGTATACGACAAAACATTGATAAATATTTAAAAAAAATCTGTTTATATGTATCAAGTTTATTTTTTATTGTCAATTGTTTTTGAAATTGTATAATTTATAAATATTTGTACGGTAACCTACCTGGGGATAATTGTCCTCGTGATTTTTGTAATTTATTGAATAAACAAAAAAAATATTTAAATACAATTCATTTGTATAGTGTATAATGGCGCTATTTCATTATTTGTTATTAATTTTCATTTTTTTTAAATGTACAAATCAAATTTTCCTATGCTATTTATGTACAGTGAGTGTCATATAGTCATTGGCTATAATTATGTGAATATATTATAAATAAGTTTATAATGTCTGAGTTTTTTCTCATTTCACAAACTTTTCACACTTTATTCTTTATTAACAAGAGATGGTTCAAAAGAAACCAACTAGAGAGTTCTCCCCCTAAAGTGAGTTGAACGACTGGGTAGGAGGGACGCACAATGGGGAAATTATAGAGTTTAGAATAATTTCCAGTCCACCCGGAGTAGTCATTTCGTCAATTTTCAAGCAAAACAATTGTAAACCCGTCATGCCGTAATAATTTTCAAAAGCGTTACAATTATACGGGATTTTGAATGAAGGCACGTCTCGCTATGACAGTTCTATGTTTGTATGTCTAAATCAGGGTATATTTCGGAATTTTTGTTATTGAAAATGTTCCAATTCATTAGAACCGTGTGGCTCCGATCTTTTGAAACGATTTTCCTTTAATATCACCGTTTTATAAATATAATTTTTTTGTTAATTTCCAACTATGATATTTGCGTATTTACTCCACATCCGGATTTTTTTTATAAATTTTATTCCAATATGAACATATTTATTGAGACTTTCAACGAGGCAAAAATTTTGAACTTTTAAATACCTTTTTCAATTTTTACTATTATAACTACTAACACCGGTTTGTTATTTTACAATCTGTTTATACTATTTGTATAATACTAGAACACTATTTTATCTTGAACTTAATAATACGAAAAATAGTTTACAGCTAAAAAATAATAACGCGTCAAAAGGCACATTAGAGGCGTTCAAATGCTTGAATGGTCTTTCCATGTTTAACTACCGTCAAATAAATTTAACAGATAAAAACCAAAAAATTATTTTAATTTGTCTAAGTTTAATTCTAAGCCGAAAAAATATACTTGTTGATATTAATAACCACTATTTACTTTAAATTATATTTTCAGTACTTTAGTTACATTTTGTTTTTAATATTGCATTATTATCAATTCCTATGTCTTTAAAAAGATTTATTTAATATGTTTTAATGTCAATTGCTTCTGGACCAAAATTGTTTATAAGGATCGGTGAATGTTTTTATATATTAAGGCGTGCTTGACAGATTGATTTATCTGAGATCACCTCTGCATACATACCAACATGTACAGAATCGAGTTTTTTTCGGGTTTTGGAAGTCCAGGACTTTATCCGTCCCGCTGTTGAAGTAGGCTCCAGGGGCTGTCGATAGCTAGTCATTTCGACAGCCAGAACATGCAGTTTTTAAATTTAGAAACGCTAACACTTTCACTCATTGTTAAATTCATTCTTTTGCTATTTACATACCATTCGCTTAGGGAGGTGGAGTACTTGATATTCCTCCATCACCAGATTATACTATTATTATTATTCTGCTACCCTGATCGAGGGGGCATTATTCCACTATCGGCCCTCTCATACTACACATGCACGGTAATAAATTCATTTGTGAAAACTATGCACAAAACATGCCCAAAAATTTGGACAGGGGACACAAATACGCCAGCGAGGGCGCTCAAGGACAACTCTCATACCGTTATTTCCTGCACGCTCTCTTTATGGAGCCAACGAGTACACCTTTCTTTATGTGACCTCTTTTTTATTTGAGAAATATCGTCCAGTACCTATATGCTAAAAGCATACGCGGATTTTGGCCCAAAAGTGTCTATGGGATCATGACTGTTTAAATGTTTAAAAACACCGTTTTAAAGAGAAAAAACATAAAATATATAAACATACTACAAATAGGCAAAGAAAAATTAATTGGCGCTAAATCAATATAATAGAGGTTTTGACAATTTATGCTTTTAAGAATGCAAATTAAAAACATGCGAAAATATTTGTGATTTATGAAATAAACCTGTATTATTCAGTTAATGAGGTAACGGTTGAAATACTGAGATGATTTTGTCATCGTTATTTGTTCAATGATTATTCGGAAATCGTGAGATGCGGTCTGGTGTGACGTAGGTTTCAGAAAACATTTTGTTTATCGTGCCAACGTTTCGATCTTTATTGAGATCATCTTCAGGGCTCAAAGTGTTTGTTTTCTGCGTAATTGTGCCATTCTTGCGTGTCATGTTGAGTTATTTGTACAGAATGCCCAATTTACCAGAATATTGTAGAAAAAAATAAACTGTCACAACAAGAACAGGTTAACAAATGCCTATTATCACAGAAATAATACGATATTGTTATAAGTTCATAATATATCGTATCGCTGTTAGACACAGGTATTATTTATGTATCTATATAATGTATTGTGATGGTTTAGGACATAGATGGGTCTGAAGTTGGGTCGTTTCCGATTTTACTGGTCTGCCAGGGGATCATCGTGCTGGACCAGGGAGGATAGTTTTGGTCTGCCTGGCACATTTCGCCATAGTCAGTTGTGGATTTGTTTATTGTCGAATGTAAAAACGAGACCGCGAATTCAAACCAACTAGGGATGCTTGGAAGCGATCAAACTGCAAATCGAATTCTATTTAACAAGTTAATAATTCCCAGCTACTTGATGAGATTTTACATCGGCAAATAATTGAGGGCCATGCTTCGGGTTATACGCCATGGTAAATAAATCCCGGCGCGTATTTTCTCCGGATTTAACCCCCTTCCCACCCGGTGAGTGGTCGTGGGTCCCCTCGAGGGGTGGATTTTCGGGAGGGGAGTAACCCCTCCTATATGGGAACAAGAGGCCTTCATGTTTACCATGTACCCTCCGCCACCTGGTTGACGCCGAGTCCTCCATGTTCCGAAAATCCTAGAAATTACGTCTTCTAAAATGTAGGACTACACCTTTTTAACACCTCTATGGTTTATATTTCAAATATAAAATTATTCAATACACTGTTTAGGAGGTTGATGATATCAGGCCACAATAAAGAAGAGTTTTATTGTGACCGTAATATTGTGATATCATCAACCTCATAAACAGAGTATTAAGCTGAGGTCCACAACATCCCACCGCCATATATCTATTTATTTGTTCGAAAATAGAAGAAATACGGGTCGTAATTAAGTCGTTTAAGCATCAAAAAATCTAATTTAATCCGTTCAGCTCGTTAACGTTAGATTTATATGCAGATCTCTCTGATAATAGCATAAAGAAACAGGTCGTTAAAATCTTTCAACTTACAAGTTCATAAGTGCGTAGAAAACAATTCTTAGCGTCCATACATCCCCTAGTAAAGTCAAACTATTGTAATTTTGAAATTGATTTTTTTTTAGTGTTTTAGTGTTAATAATTTTACACAAATTATTAACACTTTTATGATAATGTCTGTGTTTACAGTGAAAAGTGAGATAAGACAAGAAAAAAAACTTTCGTGATATCGCTTTAAAAGTTTAAACTTTTTCCCGAAATCGAGGTACGGATAAAATTTCTCATGAATATACTTTTCTGATTATCTCAATATTAGTAGGCGTGGTTTTTGTTTCATTTATGTATTTCAATCAATTTGAACAATTATTGGCATAACCCTCTCTTCACTGCAACCATTTGCATATACAGGGTGTTACAGAGTTAAATGTCAATACTGCCATTGTGGATTCACTAAATAAAACGTAGTTAAGTGACAGCAGAACAAGGCTTTTATAACTATATAACCAATAAATGTTTTTATTAAAAATATGTCAATATACGATGTTCTTGGGTTGTCTCCTTGGGTTAACGTTTTTCAATCTTGCAAAGGAGATTTCACTAAGAGAAGTTCTAAAAAAGGTAAAACTGAATATGTCCTTAGAATACTTATAAAATAAGGTAACTTAGTGAAATCCCCGAAAATTTTAATGGAAAAGTGATTGCACAAGCCACGATTGAATATTTAAAAACACAACATGATTTTCCCATTTGTTTTTATTTGAGCAGTGTGCATTAGGAAGCGCGAAGTTTTCAATTGGAATTTTGTTATCTTGTGAAAAATTTAAAGTAGTTTGCGAAATGAAAATCAGATTTGTGCTGCTGGACGCCTCTAAAGTTGAGAAATTACAATTTAATGTGAAAAAATCTGATTTTAAACTAAAATCACAAAAATGTTAATATCTCGCGAAAAAGTCAGATGGATACCTCTAAATATACCTCTTTCTGGTAGCATTGAACTACGTTTTATTTAGCGAATCCATCATGGCAGTGTTGCCATTTAACCTTGCAACACCCTGTATATGTGGTTGCAGTGAAAAGAGGGTTATGTCAATAATTGTTCAAATTGAGTTAAATACATACGTCGAAAAAAAAACACGCCAACTAATATTGAGAGAATCAAAGAAGGATATTCTTAAGAAATGTGTGGTGTTTAGGGCACTCTCAACACGACACATAAGAATGACACATCTACACGGAAAACAAACACTTTGAGCCCTGAAGATGATCTCAATAAAGATTGAAACGTTGGTACGGTAAAGAAAATGTTTTTTTTAAACCTACGTCACACCAGACCGCATCTCACGATCTCCGAATAATCATTCTTAAGAAATTTTATCCGTCACTCGACTTCGGGAAACCCAGTATATATGACAAACAATATATTTTTCAATATTGTTTGCTACATTTAGGTTTATATGAAGTATATAGTTGAAAAAACGAAATAAATCGTCCCGCCTGTGAGTTCTCCTCGTTAAAATTAGGCCAGGGGCTGCCGGCAAACATCTGCCCGCGTGGATACGTTTGTCAAAAGAGGAAAGCTGCCAAATAACGGTCAGCGTAAATTTTATTTTTCCCTTTTCCATATATTTCACTTTAATATCCGTTTATTAATATCAGTTTAAACTTTTTAAAAAATATAATACATTACCTCTTGAAGTTCAGGAGGAAGAGGATTTCCGTTATAAATTGATCATTTCGTCTCTACTTTGGGTCCGCTTAGTCACACTAGTTTATTCAGGTGCGTTTTGGCTTCACGCTATAAGGGACTAAGCGGGTCTAAAGGATAAATGGCAATCGAAAATCTATCATGAATTCTTACAACGACAAATCAAAATATCCAATATTGGACATGTTTGTCTCATTTGGGACGTGTTTCAGTATTGTAAATGGTAAAAATGAACAATTTCTTTTCC